AGAGGGGTAGCGCACTTAATGAATGAAAGTAGTAGGAGGGCGGTATTACACAGGCGTGGCAAATAGTAGATACCAATTCAAACAATGTACAAAATATTTTCAGAATGAGTGCATAACTGTAAATTATTTGAAAACTTACCTCAGATATAAAATAAATATACGCCCAGGATTAATGAATTTTTTTTTTATTTGAAGCTGCTGCCCGCATTTGCATTGCTTTATCTGGATTTAATCGAAGTTGAGCACTATTGTTCACTCACTACTGATATTGCTGCATTCACAAAGCATTTATTTTTACTGAAATACCTCAATATTTTCACTGTATTTACTATTCCTTTGCAGGCGCTGCATAAGGATTCCGTTTTGATTATTTGCAGACAAAATAACTCCCTAAGCTAGCCGCAGCTCAGTGTTACTCACTGTTCGGCTTCCTTGTTTGCAGCCCCAACGTGCACATACACGAAAGCACTCACTCGGCTCCACGCTCCACCAGCAGCTGTGTATATATGTATGTACATATACTTGAGCTCCAGTGGGAATATATTTCAAATCGAAACTTTGCAGAACCGCGAATGCAGAAAATGGAAAATTTTTCTGCGAAGGAGTGGCGGGCGGTTCGTCTGAGCTTGTAAATTACAGATTACAAATTTTCCGCTCGGAAATTGTATTTCTATGCACTTAATATCTTTTTATATAAAATGTGTACTTGTCCATTCACTTGCAACTCATTTCTTTAAAAAAATTTTGTTTATTTTGCATATACCATATATGTATCTTCACTCTACACATACTTTTCCGGCTTCAATCCCAGCGCGACAAACACTCATATGCACATGAACGAGCACGGTAGTCACCAGAAGCGAACGAACAATTGTGCAAAATATTCAAAAATTTGTATTTCCCTTCTTTATATGAAATAAATTTTCGAACAATTTATGTTCTAACTTTTCACTGCAACATTATTATACACATCTTATTATTTTCTTTTCAAACACTATTCAGGAAATAATACATCACGTACTTGGCCAACTCCACCGTCATCCACTTTTATCGGCGTCGTATTTTGCAATGGTAAAAAATGCACATCAAATTGGACTAGGCGAAGAAATACAAACAAGCAGCACTGTTTGTAGGAACGATAGAAATGAAACAGGGCGATTAACGTGAAAAATTTTTGTAGCCATGTAAAGGTCTGATTATGCATACTTCACACAACCATTCGTACAAGTGCAAACGAAATGTAACTTAAGAATATGTGAAGCAAAATCTAAATTCAACAGATCGCTAAGTTTTTAAAAGTTCTGCTAATTTATGGGTAATGGAATACATACAAAGTACATACAAAATACATATACATACAGGTTGAATTTTATGCGAAGTTGTGCGAAGTTATGCTAAGTTTGCATAATTAGACCATAAGAGCGCTTTCACATTACCTGGTACGATATCGGATAGATATTTTTAGTGTTTAAAGGTCAAATGTAGGAATGTGAGTGGCTTTAATTAAATGTATAAACGGTATATATAACTTCTTAAGTTTTAGCAAAAATCCAATTTATGTAAAAAAAAATTACAAACAATTTTAAACAAACACATTTTTCTTTAAAAGTGCCGATTAATTACAGTTAAAAGTCTTATAACTCAATGCACAACTCAAGCTTTCGTTTAATACATAAAATGTTGTGTTTAATCCTCGCAATTCGGAGTATTTCAAAAAATAACTCTGGTCGGACCAATGCCAGCTACGCTATCCACAGCATTTTTGCGCAAAACCTTTTTCTTAGTAAGGGTTACAATCCTTAGTAAGGGTTATAATCCCTAAGCGTTGCCGAAGGCCGCCAACGCAGAATTTGTTCTGTGCAAAAGGTGTTGCGCCCCTCTTCTTCGGCAACACAGAAAGGAGAATTCTGCTTAGTGAGGGTTATAATCCCTAAGCGTGGCCGAAGGCCGGCAACGCAGGGATTTTTGCTAAAACTTAAGAAGTTATATATACCGTTTATACATGTAATTAAAGCCACTCACATTCCTATTTAATGACATCAAACTTTTTAGAATCGGTGCGATGCCTTTCGAGATATATGGGTTTGAAAAAAGCGCTACATTTGACCTTTGACCTTTCATAACTGCTTGAGCTGTTGTTTCTGCCTCAAAAAAAGTATACTGTTGTATTTGTCTCAAAAACCTCTATCAACACTAGTACCTATTTTTTTAGTTTTTGCAATGTTCGGATTCTTAACTTATACCAAATAAAAATAAGCTATAACGTCTTTGTCTTCGACAGAGGATATTTTCGTTATATGATTTATGAAATTTTCAAATTTGATTTCGTGCTTTCCGGCTTTTTTAATTTTTTTTCTACAAATTACATACCGAAAGTATTCCGACAAGTCTGCAGATCAAATCAACGCAGAATCGTTTCGGTAAGCCGAAAATACCGAGGAAAAAATGTCGATCCGATGTCATACCGAGTAATGTGAAGAGGCTATACTTTTAGTACTATTCCCATGCGGCCGCTGTAGTGTAGTGGTAAGCAGTACGCACTTCCACTCCCCAGGGCCTGGGTTCAAGCCCTGTCAAGGCAACATCGCAAATTTAGAAAAAAGGTTTTTTCTTGACAGCGGTCGCCCCTCGGCAGGCTATGGCAAACCTCCGATTGTATTTCTGCAATGAAAAACAGATTGCGATAAAAATACAATCGCAGTTCGGAGTCCCTCCCTTTTGTGAGACAACATCAAGGCGCACGCCACAAATTGAAGGAGAAACTCGGCCAAACACTAACATATGTGTAAGCGCCAATCTATTGTTATTATTATTCCCACGCCAACGACAAAACTCAACGTATGTCTATTGTCTTTACCACTGCGCATAATACTATGCCGCAAATTTATTTTAAGCGATTGACACAATTTTCATTAGGGGTCTTCTCTTAAACTCGTAAAAGATTCGTAAACCTCGTTAATTTATGAGCCTCGTAAAAGACCTGTCAAAATTTGTATGGAGCTCGGAGCTCTATTTACGAGCCCCTCGTAAATTGGCGAGGCAAATTCGATGCGCAAATATGTGCGCAAACAAAATGTATGACAAAACAATGAATATAGATGAAAAAAATAGTACGCGAATAAAATGAATAAATTTCATCAAAAATCATCAAGAATTTTATATTCATAGCACCGAACAAGGCGAATACATATAAGGTGGTATCGATCGAACAAATACAACAATTACTTGTATTTTGTTTTTGCTGTTAGCGGGCCATTGTCAAATTTCAGCTATTCTCCCCGAATGAAAAAGGGCGACAGAAAATGCAAACACTCTCACGTTTTCACTCACTCACTAACGAAATTCAAAATTTTGACAATCAAACGCTACTCACAGCTGATGAAACAACACCACCAAAACCAAAAATACAAGATCACGTAAGAACGCGACGTTGTATTTGTAACATGAACCAAAAATACAAGATCACGTAAGAACGCGACGTTGTATTTGTAACTGGTTTTGAGAAAAAAGTTTGCGAAAGTGGGTTCGTCAGCTGAGCGTTTGTTTACATCACAAGCACCACTTACATTTTACACTTTTATTTAAGTAAAGAAGAGTTAATTCAACATGACAACACATTTTAAAGCATTTTGTTGCATCATTTTACCTAAATTGTGCGTTTAAAGTGGCTGACAATAATTTTGGCTAATTTTGGTTTTCGTTGTTTTCTTTGCTTTGTTTACATTTCGCTCGTTTTCCAGTGAAACAAGATGGCGTAGAACCCGCTAAAAAAATCGACTTTTTCACTCTCTTGTTCTTACGTGATCTTGTGTCTTTCGTTCATGTAAATTTGCCTTGGCACCGACCGTACATAAAGTTGCAACTCTGTGCAGTTGAATGCATGCAGTAGCGTTGCCAGGTTGTTATTTTTAACGTCATTTGGACATTTTTTGTATCCTGTTGACGTCTGGACGTTTTTTGTGTAAAAAATTACGTTTTTTAACTTCCCAGTAATTTTTCTCTGTTACTAAATCTTATAAGTAGAACTGGTTTTGAATTATTTTCTTAATAAATCTTTACAAGCTTTGTGTTTTGCAGCAGCTGCTTCAAAAGATATTTATTCCTTGGACACAGATGACTTAAAGATGATGCAAACCAAGTGTGCGCGCATTTTTTTTTTGGGGTTCTTGGACAAAGGCTGGTTGTGTAAATACTTGAGGTTACGAGACTACTTGTAATGTTTGCAATTGCACATTAAAAGCCAAATCAGGAAGAGCTGATCTATTGCAACACGCACGCTCGCAAAAGCATCAAAAAAGCTGTAGCAGCACAAAAAGTCAGAAAAAAGTAGGCGACTTTTTTAAGACTTCATTGAAAATGTAATGAACACTAAAAAGGCTGAAATGTTGTTATGCTCCTTCTTAGCAGAACTTAATTTAGCATTTTCGACAACCGACCCCCTAACTAAATGTCTACAAGAAAAAAAAATATTAAAAATCAACACGATTATGTAGCCCCTTCAAACTTGCACATTATTGCCCTGATATTTAATGGGCTATCAAACTGCATACTCAAAAAAAAAATTTAAAAAAATCTGAATAAAAAGTTGAAAATATAGCTGAAACTTTGCAGATTTTTAATAATTTTTGCACAAAGTTTCAAATATGGATTTATATTTTGTTTGTTATATAATGAGTTTGGTCTTTTTGGAAAAATAATAAACATTAAAAAAACAAAATAAAAACAGCCAAAATCGGTCAAAATATTGATGACTTAATCAGCTGATCACAAGTGTATGTATAAAATCATTTTCATATTAACGATCTCAAACCAGTTTACAATGAATTCTAAATGTGCTCTGTCGAAATGACATTTTAATATACCTTACGTACATATGTACCTTTGTAAACAATAAAAGTTTAATAAGAACCATTTTTTGTACATTCATTTGAAAAAGACGTTTTTGGGTAGGAAATGACGTTTTTTTCAGACCAAGAGGGACGTTTTCTCATGCCGAAGGCCTGGCAACACTGGCATGCAGGCAACTCAAAAAAAAAAAGACAAAACCAAATGCACAAACATTCTGGAATTTGCAAGTTTTCTATTATTTTTTTAATTTCGCACATCCTAAAAAGTACGTGAAGTTCAGATGAATATGCACTGTGCAAGTTTTGCAGCAGGCCTACTTTTACTTCTAAGTAGTACGCCGAGCGGACTAGCTGAAAATGTAAGTTTCTTAATTGCATTTCATTTTGCAACGATGCATTAAATTTTGTTTTAACATTTTTTGGAACTCATTTCGTGGTCCCGGTCTTATGACTCATTAGATTTGCCAAAAATATTTGCGCGAATTGGCTCAAAATCAAAGCGTATTCGTTCAATGTTCAACAAAGCATTCGGTGCCCGTAAGCCTTTGTGTAGGTTGCGAAGAGCCTTTTACCGATATGCATTTGTCTTACATGGCCCTGCGAAATGAAAAGAATTGTACGGATATATATTTTGATAAGGATCGCATCAACATCGTGTCTACAACACAATCTATACTTGTCGGATTGTGGACGAAAGCTTACTGTGATGGCAAGTCCAGTATCATTTATATTTAGCCTGTTCCCGTACTCCAGGATTTGCAGGTTTTCTAGGAACAGCTGTTTTCGCCTTTAATAAACCTTATGTGGACGTGGCGTACGGGAACGACTTTGGACTAAATCCTTGCAACACCCTAATTGTGTTCAATTAATTATGCATATATTTTTCTAAACGCATATACAGACTGTTACTCCAATAACCATTCGTATGTATTCGATTTGAAAAAACGGGACTTTGAAGATTGTCTCAGGGAGCACAAAGGAGAAGAATGCTCAGCTTGCCTGCTAGAATATCTAGATTTGAATGGTTTTTATATTTCTTTGGATAAAAAGAATAATGGAAAAATTTGCTTTGACATGCAAGATGCAGTGAGTTTTTCCGTTCAGAATTTTTAAACATTGCTGGTTATATGAATTTATTGTCTTCTTCAGATGAACCGGACAAGAGCTCACTGGTCTAAGGATTTAAAGTGCTGTCATCGCGAGTTTGATTATATGCTTTTTCTCGTTGTGTGCGGATTTATAGCGGTACTACCAATCTTATTTTATGGTACCACATTTTTTTTAACAAAACACCAAGAGCGTAATTATGTTACCATAATCGAAGGTATGTGGCTAATATTAAGGCGTATTGCTCACCTATATTAAGAAAAAAATGTACTGTGAATGTTTAAGTATTTTGTTTTTGTAATTTTTTCGCTACTATTTATATTCAAAAATTTTATTGGCGGCCTCAAGCCCAATAAAATAGTTAAATGTGAATGTTTAAGTTTTTTATATTATTTAATGTACGCTTTTCTTAGATCCACGTAGCAGTAATGATGGCCCTTCAACAAACGTGAATGCAAACAGTTCCTCGGCTGATCTACCTAGCACATCATCTGTAGCTACATGCCCGCGGGTACCCTCACCAAAAACTAAATTGCAAGTCGAGGGCTTTACCAGTTCCGATGACAGCGATTTAGAAGAAACTGCTGCAGNGGTGAGTTTTCCCGTTCAGAATTTTTAAACATTGCTGGGTATATGAATTTATTGTCTTCTTCAGATGAACCGGACAAGAGCTCACTGGTCTAAGGATTTAAAGTGCTGTCATCGCGAGTTTGATTATATGCTTTTTCTCGTTGTGTGCGGATTTATAGCGGTCCTGCCAATCTTATTTTATGGTACCACATTTTTTTTAACAAAACACCAAGAGCGTAATTATGTTACCATAATCGAAGGTATGTAGCTAATATTAAGGCGTATTGCTCACCTATATTAAGAAAAAAATGTACTGTGAATGTTTAAGTATTTTGTTTTTGTAATTTTTTCGCTACTATTTATATTCAAAAATTTTATTGGCGGCCTCAAGCCCAATAAAATAGTTAAATGTGAATGTTCAAGTTTTTTATATTATTTAATGTACGCTTTTCTTAGATCCACGTAGCAGTAATGATGGCCCTTCAACAAACGTGAATGCAAACAGTTCCTCGGCTGATCTACCTAGCACATCATCTGTAGCTACATGCCCGCGGGTACCCTCACCAAAAACTAAATTGCAAGTCGAGGGCTTTACCAGTTCCGATGACAGCGATTTAGAAGAAACTGCTGCAGAGATAACATCAAAAAAGCATGATAAAAGCGAATAATTTTAGATTGTATTTGAACTATTTTTGCTATTAATACTAAAATGCAACTTCAAAATAACTTTATTAAAAAACAAGATTTATATGTGTATAGGAAAATAAATGCCTTTATTTAGGAAAAAAAAAATTGATTTGAAATGCATGTTGTCCATTGCTAGTCCATCATCTATCACAACCTCGGTCAAGATACGGCCGCTGAAAAGACATGGGGGAAAAGAATTTGTCTGTTCTAGCAGTCAGTCCAAACGTTTTTGTAAACAGTTAGTACTTGGCGCCTGTTATAAAACTTTCTTTAGAAAAATCGATTGCCGTTTAGAATTAGTCAGTAATAACTTCACGTCCTCCAATGGCAGTAATATTCCTAATTAAAGTGTTNGGAAAATAAATGCCTTTATTTAGGAAAAAAAAATTGATTTGAAATGCATGTTGTCCATTGCTAGTCCATCATCTATCACAACCTCGGTCAAGATACGGCCGCTGAAAAGACATGGGGGAAAAGAATTTGTCTGTTCTAGCAGTCAGTCCAAACGTTTTTGTAAACAGTTAGTACTTGGCGCCTGTTATAAAACTTTCTTTAGAAAAATCGATTGCCGTTTAGAATTAGTCAGTAATAACTTCACGTCCTCCAATGGCAGTAATATTCCTAATTAAAGTGTTCGGCATGGTCATTGATAAGTGATGCTTGTAGCTGGAAATCTGTTTATACTGTGATATGCCTAGTGTTGGAAACCGTTGGAGTATTCCTAACTCTAAGCGGTCTATATTGTAAAATATATACATTTTTTTTTTTAATTGGGAATGAATAAGCAATGCAATAAAAAAATTATTGTTTAAAAAATAAAACCTCGCTATTAAAATTTCCATTCTAAAGGCTCTGTTATGCATACTTGGCATTGCTTGAGAGTTGTCACNGTAATTGGGAATGAATAAGCAATGCAATAAAAAAAGTATTGTTTAAAAAATAAAACCTCGCTATTATAATTTCCATTCATACTGTCATCAGGTATGTAACTTGAGAATAGAAATCGCTGCATCTTTTAGGCGCATCAATATTACATAGTTACATCCCGAGCTAATAAAAGGGAGGTAAAAAAAAAGAACAAAAGGAAATTGAACTTCTTAGGGCCGGTTACTCAATGTCTGGTTATCACTAATCTGCGGTTAAACATCGTTATCGACCTTATTGAAACCGTGTTATATGCATGGAGTCGAAGACGTCGATAACGATGTTTAACCGCAGGTTAGAGTTAACCAGACATTGAGTAACGGACCCTTAGGGCCGTTTGTTCAATGTCTGGTTATCACTACTTGCCGATGCCGACATCATGTATATAACAAGTGATCGATAAAGCAGTCGTTGTATCTAACCGGAGCTTCTACCTCCGATTTGTGCAAATCAGACATTGAACAACCGGCCCTAAGGGTCCGTTACTCAATGTCTGGTTATCACTACTTGCCGATGCCGACATCATGTATATAACAAGTGATCGATAAAGCAGTCGTTGTATTTAACCGGAGCTTCTACCTTCGATTTGTGCTAATCAGACATTGAACAACCGGCCCTTAATGGTTATAGTGTTGCTATGGTAACATAAAACAGCCCGAAGGGTTGTTCAATGTCTGGTTATCACTACCAGCCGGTTAAACATCGTTATCGACATCATGAATATACCATGTGATCGATAAAGCAGTCGTTGTATTTAACCGGAGCTTCTACCTCCGATTAGTGCTAATCAGACATTGAGTAACCGGCCCTTAGTGGAAGAACAAGCTTTGAGGTGTTTGAATGCGGTTTTCTTTATAACTACCGGTCGAAATTTATGAATATTTTACACCTTTAATTCATAATATCCTGAATACTTGCCCATCAAGTTAATATGGATGGAGGAAACATACACGTATGGCAGAAGAATATCGGCAATACGTTGTCTCCCAATTAGTAAAGGAGTGATGCTCCTTGGTTGACGTGCTCTTTCTACAGAGTCGGATCAAAGTTAAAAGGTTTTTAGCTGAGTGGGCAATAGAAGAGTAGTGTCTGTCTTGTGAAGGCTAAAAACCGGACATATATTGGATATAGGGGAGTAGATCCTGGATAAGTACAAGTTTAGCCTGCTACAATATTCAACCCATTATTGAGCAGGTGGTTGTGCGACGTAAATCTGGATCTCGTTCATGATGTATCTATGCGGTGTCCTGTTCCAGCAAGTTCCTTACAGTATGCAACCACTTTTTATTATCCGTCTTTGTGAATTTTGCAGCGGGCAGGATAAGTGAATAAAAGACAAACACAAGTCATCAATTTCATTGCTGGATGCCAATACCGAGAAGTCGTGAGATCACTGAAACTATATGGCGGGTGAGCAATCTTGTGGGTGTAGAAAATAAACAGTTATAAGAAAAGGGTTGTTCTCCAAAAAGGACTCTCGACATTTTAAGCCCTTTGGGAGTGCAAGTGTCGAATATTTTGACAATTCCAACGCTACTATGAAAGAATGGTGTTGTTTACTTTACGGAAGCCATGTTGTTGCGTGGCGAGGGTCAGGTTGCACCTAAGGTACGGGAATAGCTTTAGGTTGCAGACAAAGTATGGGCAAGTTTTAAGTGTTTTCACACTTATTCTCACCCCAAAACCAAAGTGTTACAGTATCTATCCCCATAGTTCGTCGGGCCTTCCCTATGGCCACATAAACTTAATCGCTTGAGAAAGGTAGGAACACACTAGGCTTTGCGATGTTGTGCTATCTTCTAGTCACTCGACGTCTGGGTTGATCCACCAAAGAACGCAGTGTGAACTGCTACCCAGAATAGCTCAGGCTTTTTTCATCATCGCATTTCGCGATTTCAGCGTTTTCGCAAACTTACACCCACCAGAGGCGAGGTTGTTCATCAAGTGCTCTTCCCACCTTTTCCACTTATGTCGGTTTACCTGCGAATTTTCGGTAGTCTAACGGAATGTTTTAATCATAACGCTGAGTTCTGCCCCTGTAACTGCCCATTGCAAAAGTAAAATTTGGGCTTCCCTCTAAACAGCCTTCTTGGTTAAGGATGTTGCTAGTGTCATTTTCTCAAGAGTTGTGTGAAGATTCCGCAGCAATAGGTTACCAACACTAGAACAAATACAGTTTACCTCAGACATCCAGCTACGAAATATTCCGTCCCATTTGCAAATGTACATTCATAGTTGACGTTCATTTCGAATCTTTGCTGCACAATGCAGGATACACGAGTGCTAAATGTCAAACAGCTATTTCCATAAGAAGTCAGCAAGGTCTGAAAGACAAGAATTAATTTAATTAGAAAGCATAAATAGATTTCTTAGGCTTTATGGTTTATGGTGCGGTATGTGCTGAAAGCAATGCGGGAACTATATGGGACTCAAGAGCGCTTAAGCTCGAATCCCAAAAGTCAAACTGATGCACTGGTGAAATTGAATACGAAATTTTTCGTATAATCATCATTTTGAGCAGTCCATTTTTTATGTTGTTTAAACACAAGCGAAAATGTTCTTATTGGTAAGTTCAGGGGGAGTGATTAACTCCTTCAATTAAATTTGAAGAAGAAGATAGTTTTTTTGAATGGTGAAGTCCAACAGATTTTTAAAATCCGGAAAAGCCTTCAGCAGAACAAGGTTTAAATGGCAACATATTGATAATTTTCTCAACACAAACACTTTTTTGCCACTTTAAGGATTTTCTTGCTGAATTTTTGTCATCTTTGTATATCTTGTTGATTGCTTGGATTTAATACACTGCACACACTTTGCTTCTTTTTTCTATAAATTTTCATTGAGTTTAATGCAATGATTTATCTTGATTGAGCACTCATTATAATTCTTTTTTCTTTCTTTTTTTTTTTGGNTGGTGCGGTATGTGCTGAAAGCAATGCGGGAACTATATGGGACTCAAGAGCGCTTAAGCTCGAATCCCAAAAGTCAAACTGATGCACTGGTGAAATTGCATACGAAATTTTTCGTATAATCATAATTTTGAGCAGTCCATTTTTTATGTTGTTTAAACACAAGCGAAAATGTTCTTATTGGTAAGTTCAGGGGGGCTGATTAACTCCTTCAATTAAATTTGAAGAAGAGGATAGTTTTTTGAATGGTGAAGTCCAACAGATTTTTAAAATCCGGAAATGCCTTCAGCAGAACATGGTTTAAATGGCAACATATTGATAATTTTCTAAACACAAACACTTTTTTGCCACTTTAAGAATTTTCTTGCTGAATTTTTGTCATACTTGTATATCTTGTTGATTGCTTGGATTTAATACACTGCACACACTTTGCTTCTTTTTTCTATAAATTTTCATTGAGTTTAATGCAATGATTTATCTTGATTGAGCACTCATTATAATTCTTTTTTCTTTCTTTTTTTTTTTGGGGAAAGCTGATAATTCAGACAATTTCAAGAGGAATGGAAGCTGGGTAAGCGTCTTTTTATTAAACCGGTCAAAACAGTCCATATTTTCACAACAGTTCGTATGTTTCCCTCTAAGAGGGAAAACATTATTTATTGCAACCTCTCCGCCTTCGTTTAGCAAATAAAGTTCACATATGTGTTGGTTTTTATATTTTACGATACGTATAATTATTAACTATTATTTAAAATTATATATGTATGTAGGTATATGCATGTATTTATAATCGAAAGAGTTTGTCAACTTTCATTCCTTCTACCATGATATCGCTGCATACGCGCGACGCAGTGTAATTATAATTTAATAATGTAAGTATGTAGTACTACTTTTAAAATTAACTTTAGTCATTCATCTTTTTATGTGTAATTGATGCAACGAAAAACTGAAGTAATACATTTGATTTATCCTGTTTATAATTTGGGACTGCAAGTCGATATTTTATAAAACAAATGTCAAAAACAGAATTTGAACAAGAAAGAACTTTACTTTCTTAGTATCTATGTGTGCGTAGCTTTATCTTTTTAATTTCTCAACAAGCTTAACATTCGAGATAGAAAGACGAAAAGGGTACCAGAAGTCAAAGACGTGTTTCTTAAAAGAAGTTCAAGTTTTTAAGTCTCTGTGCTTGTAATCCCAATTATAAATTGAAGTCTTAATTTTTGATGTTGACTTAAGCCTGGAAATTGATGTTTCGTCTAATATTAACATGGATAAACATATACGCCATTTCTATGCTTCGTTCGATGTTTACAACAATTAGTTTTTGTTTGGAGGATTAGGATATTGTAACACTTTTTTACGAGGGAACACTTATCCCCCATTATGAATTTTTAATTATTTGCCCAAAAGTGTAAACACTTCCGATATCGAGGGGGAGTTGAAGAAAATACCATTTAAGATTTTAGTTGCCACACATTGAATAAAATATATCTACTCACGCGTTTTCTCACACCACATTTTTTTTTCTCAATTGCAAAGTTCGAACACGAAGAGGTTACAGCGTGCTTTTTAAGCGGTTACTTTTTAGGATATTTGTTTATCATATAATATTCAGTTATTTTTACGCACTCTTTTTTTCTTTTTCACTCGGCTTTAAACCTTCAATCTTACGAGCTTTGTTTGATTTGCTTCTCATACACAGTGGGAGGAGGCTTGCAACGCAGTCGTCTGGACTGCATATGCTGCACTATACACCTTTATTTGTGTATTTTAATATTTAATTTATTTTCACATCGCTGTCTTAGCGTCTGCCATCGCGATAATTACGAGCACCGGCGCTACTGCCACCACCTGCGCGGAAATGTCTATCATTACCAGCGCTACGGGAACCTGAGCCGCCACTTATGCCGCCGCTGGGTCCACGATATTCCCGGACGCCGGCTCTTTCACGTGGACGCATCATATTTGAATTGTTAGTTCGTTGACTGCTGCTGCGAAAACTATTGGCACCGTTGTTATTTGTGCCTGCGCCCATATTGTTGGCGGAACTTGAAAAACTGCCACCACCTGCTGTAGAGCTTGAGCCCCCAATACCAGTGCTTCCACCGTTGGGTGATGATGCTCCAGCGCTACTTCC